CGATTCAGAGTTACCGATCCAGAGGCAAATTAAGTACATTTCCTATTTTGTCGGTGACTAGGTACGGTCTACCTGATTAATTCGATCAAAGTTCTAGCCATCACTCCATGTAAAGTAAAAACAGGTTGTAAGAAAAGTGAATGGATCTAGTGGCTTAAACTGACTGTGGTATCTAAATAAAGTCTCTGATGTGTATCAAAGCCAAGGCTCGTCTTCCCAGTCAATGCCCGTTCAACGCCCGCAAGTCGGTGGCCATACCACGAGTTACCGACTTTTCCAGAGTCTTTGCTAAAAACAAAAGGGGAATGAATGCGTGAAATATAGTCGACTAGTTAACATAAGGTAGGTAGGGGGTATAATAAGAGAAGAAAGAAACAGGCATCATATCATCCTGACCGCCTCACATGATGAATACTTCCCAGAAGCTGCGCCATCTTGAGAAAAATAAAATACAACTACAATGCAAGAGTAAAATCCCACCTCAGTGCATCAGCTAATGACTGTGTTCACTTCTCAGAGCCACTGGACCTTGGAAACCAGAACTTCCAGGGACGACGTCGTGCATTTCCAATCCCTGAGAGCTCGATCTCGGCCGCTTGTCTCGTCGAATGCCTAGGCGTTGGTCGCCTTCATGATAATGCGCTTTGAACTGATAATACGTGGGTTGTCGAGGGCGGCATAGAACGACAACAAAGTTCTTCAACATGTTGGCTTGAGAGAATGCCCGGAAACGCTCCTTCTTAGCAAACTTGTGTGAGTTCATGTACTCTCTGGTCGTTTCGCCTCGCGCCATGAGGAAGACGTGATATCCCATCAAAGCAGCAGGATAAAGGAAGGAGATAAACCCAAGAAATACCAACGCAAAAGGAACTCGGAAGTGGTCAATAGCTTTTCCGAACGAGACGCCTTCACGATTCTTGTAAAGAAGTATCTGTGTAAGAGAAGTGGCGATGAGGTATGCCGCGAGGATAGTTGCGGATGTAACAAAGGTAAAGAAATATCGGTAATTACGTTTCCCGACACAGTTGTTGAGCCACACGCAGTGATGGTCATGGGTTTCGATACAGTTATCGCATAAGCGACAGTGGTGGGCACGGGGTGGCCGCCAGATATTGCATGTTCTACAGTGCTTAACCGGAACTTCCATGGCGGCTGTTGATGATTCCGCGGATTTTATCAATGCCCAATCTGTCGTGGGCGGGCTAAGTTGGAGAGGGTCGTCGTTGTCGTCGACAGGGGGAAACTGGTGAAGATTTCGCGGAAGAATCTAACAAATATTAGTCAACGAGCATCCTGCTGTGACGAGATATAAGACTTACCCCAGGGTCCGTGACAGAGGCGTGGATGAAGGAAGAGAAACATATATACGCAAGGTATGCAAAAACAATAGGTATCGCAGGCGATACCTGCTTCCATAACCAAGGTGCTTCAAAACCAAAGAACAGAGCGCAAGGAATTATGACAAAGATACCAGTCGCAATATTAACAGGTCTCCCTCTTGTGTTTTGCCAGCGACCACCAAGACAGAATACTGTGTTGCCATCGAAATACTGATAAACACGTCCGAGATCTGATTTCTGACTTGGCTTATGAGGGACCCGGGGATGACGCTCAGTATGAGAGTCTACAGGTCTGAACTGTGGTGAAGATGCGGACGAAGAGAGTTTCTCAGCTCCTTCGGTGCTGCGATTTTGACTTTGCTGGCCTTCGTTACTTCGACCCGGCATAAGGAAGCTTGATCGAAACGACCGTGGAGATTTAATCGGGCTGGGCAGGTTGTGTAGGTCCTTATAACTCTTGTCCACAATGATGTTATGCTGAAAGTGACCTGTATCGGAAGTCTTGCCTTGTTGAAGAGGACGAACACTATCAGTCAAACTCCCTGCAGGATAATGGCCATGGCTAGGGCTCGTATTCGCTGTTATTCTGTCCAAAGTTTCTTGTTCCGTCATTTCCGTGCCCCGGGATGGTGGAGATCGCATGTTATCGTCATTGCTTGTTTGACGCTGCAGCTGCGCAATGGGGTTCGATATGATACTTTGCCGTGTTTGACTACCACTAGCTTCGCCGTGCTCATCGAATCTTTGTTGTGACGTTGGCGATGTTGGTGACGTTGGCGAGGTAGGAGACGCTGGCGACATTTGACTCATTGTAGATGGGCGATGCGATCCTCCTCTTTGCGCCTGTAGTTTCTGCGAGCTCATGGGTCTGAAAAAAGCATGCGACTGCAACGATGGAACATGGCTCCTGCTTGATAAACTCGGCGCTTGACTTGTCGAACCGGCAGTCGAACTCTCGACACTCCCTCTCTTCGCTTGTACGCCAGAAAGATATGTCTTGTTACGCAAAGACTGGCCCTGCCATGGACCCCTGGAAGACGCTCCCGTTCTTGCAGTATCAGGCCGGGAACCCATGTCCGCACTTCGAGGAATGCTCATTCTGTTCTTTTGTAACTCTGGCCCGTCCCCGTCCTCACTCGCGATGTCTGTCATTCGAGAAGAAATTATGCTCGGCGGCCGGGCCGCTTCGGAACGGGAATTATGTGGCGCTGAGAAGCCATCGTCATCGGATTTCGTGGCCATAGCGATGGCAATGTTGAGTAATGGTGTCGTTAGCAGTCGTCTACCTAGAGACGACTTTACAGGAAGTCCTGATCGAAATTAAGGCAACGGTTGCGCGAAAGGTCGAACCCAGCTCAGCCTCCCATTCAGAGTCTTGTTAATTCCGTCGCCTAGCCAGTGAATAGGTAGTGTCGAGCGTTATCCAAAGTGAAATCGGCACGGTCGGCAGGTTGGTCGCGTTACGCAGTACTGTACAAAGGAGCCAAATGAAGGGATGGAAGGACAGGGGTGAGAGGATACGGGTTTCGATCGTGGAAAAGGGAATTAGGAGAAAGTGGTCGCGAGAAAGATAGCTAAGCACGGTAGGTACTAGGTAGGGAGCGCACAATTGGAGAGTTAAACCAGTAAGTAAAAGAGAACGTAGTTAAAGGGCGGCCAGCAAAGAAAAGAAAGGTGATGGGATGGTGACAAGATGAAGAGGAGGTGTATGCTCGTTCCTTTTTCCTGTCCTTGCCTTGCCTTGTTCCGGCTCAGGACTGGTTTCTTTTTCCAAGCCCAGCCCAGCCCAGTCCAGCCTCAGAAACCTTGGGCCCGACTCCTTAGGTAATTGGACGTTCGCGCTCTCCCAAGCTATCGTCCTCAGGCCCCCTACCTAGTAAGGGGCCAGGGGCTAACCTCAGGGCAGGTCGCTGAAGCCCCTGCTAGCGGCGCTGTTCTAAGGGCTGTCGGAGGTTGAGAACTCCAGACGATAACTGATCACGAAAAGTACTACTAACTAGACTAAGAGATTGGTATGGCTGAGCGCATACATACGCCGCAATCAAAATGCTCTGTACCTAGCTTTCTCATGCACAAAAAGACGTCACTTTCAACAGATTGTGGAAACCTTCTGCAGCAACCCGTTTCGTTGACGTTTGACAGCCAGTCCCAGAATAACGTCGTTACGGTAACTAGTAGGTAACTCAGTTAATAATGATGGTTGCATTCACTTAAAACTCGGCTGAAGCCAGCTAACTCTACTAGGTAAGTAGTCTTGGCTTGAAGAGGTTGATATGATCGTCGCTGCATCACAATGAACGAATCTTTCAAAGTACTTAGGTACCTGTACTTTAGCCAGGGACAATACCTACCTTAGTAGTACCTACCTGGGTAGGAGAAAGCCAGCTTGTGGCCTGGTTACCCAGGCGCCATCGCTAGAAAGCTCTGGACTCAACTCAAGACGTCATTCCTTGTAAATCGTGATGCTACACGTGACCTTCTCAGCTCCCCCAGCATTGGCCAATGAAAGTGCACGCATTCATCGTAGCGACTGTCTCCGAAATCATACGAGAACTTCAAAGCTTCAACCACCTAAGAAAGACCCCGACGTAGAAACCCATTCTGCAACAGCAAACAAGAGCACGTCGTCAAAATGGCCTCTCGCATCTCCCGCCGATTCCTCTCCACCACCGCCCGCCGCTTCCAGGAGCACCAGAAGGCTGAGCTCAAGAAGGAGTCTCGTCGCAACCCTGAGATTCTGGTGCGTCATAATGCCTCGGCCCACCCTTGGAACTATGCCCGGCCAAAACAATGAGCGGCGGAAATGGACCACGAATTATGGTTGCTAACGTAAATGGATGATTTGTAGATTCTCGGCGGTGTTATGGTTGCTGCCCTTGGCGGTGCTGGCTACTACCTTGGTACGGAAATCAATTGATATGTCAAAAACTGAAGCAATTGCTGACATCGCCATCTTCAGGCCGATCTCCCACTGGCGCTACCTCCGAGTCTCCCGTCACCATTGCTACTCACCCCTGGGAGAGCGGCAGCTCTGGCAAGTACCAGTACCACCCCGGTGGTGACCCCAACGCCGCTCCCAAGGACGCTCCCAGCGCTCTCAACGTTGTCGTCGTTCCCAACGTTACCCTTCCCGCCGAGCTTCACGAAAAGTACAACAAGTGGGGCAAGGACGGATACCCTTAAATCACTAGTTTGGAATGATGTTGGAGCTGGCTACATGGACAAGCATGTATTGTAGGGAAAGAGGGGAGAGCTTATGAGTTGGATCAGCCAGGTCTCTCACGCCCTGTGTAGAAAGAAGAACAAAATGGGCTTGATCTAAGCAACCGCCTATAGTTCACATACGACGTGCCGCAATTTTTCTTAGCTTTGTGTCTTTCAACTATAATTTGACTTATCTCTGGCCTTATTATATCTGTGCCTGACCTCCAGCTCACGGGAATTGACCGGGCGAAAGGCTGGTCTGGATATGTTCACATGGGCTGCCAATCACACCAGCGACGTGGCATGATTTCACATACATCACAGAATAACTCTTGTTTCTCGTTACTTCTTGGTATCTCATCACTCACCACTACAACACCCGCCGTTCCTTGTAATATCCTAAACTCCTGTCTTCACCAGTCTTGTGACAACTTTCTCTGGACTCAACGCCGACAACTAAACAACCAACGCATCAATCTCTTCGGAGGTGAATCCAAGAAGGTACAGGAGATCCAAGAGGCTCTCTCCGTTCAGGCGGGCGTTAGCTTCCATCTGAACACGAGGCTTTGCGTTCCATGCAACTCCCAGACCTGCCTTGTCCAGCATGAGCAAGTCGTTAGCGCCATCGCCAACAGCAATGACCTGACACAGATCAATGCCCTCCTTGGCAGCAATGTCAACGAGGAGATCCCTCTTCCGCTCCTTTCCCACAATAACCCCCTCAACCTCGCCCGTGAACTTGCCGTCCTGAATAACAACATGGTTCGCGTGGGCGTAATCAATGCCCAGTTGGCCAGCTAGCCATCCTGTCAAGGGCTGGAAACCGCCTGAGAGAACAGCTGTCTTGACACCCAGTCGCTTGAAGGCCTTGATCAACTCTGGTACGCCCTTGGTGACGTCCAATACTGGTCGCAGGCCTTCGAACAGGTTGGCAGGGAGGCCCTTCAGAAGAGCAACTCGTTCGCGGAAAGAAGCCTCGAATTCCAGCTCACCCATCATGGCACGGTGTGTAATCTCGGCAACTCGCGCAGCCAGATCTGGGGGATCCTTGACATGGTCAGCCAAAAGGTCAATCACCTCTTGAGTGATGAGTGTGCTGTCCATATCAAAAACCACAAGTCGAGGATGGCGTCTCCATACTGTGTCCCGCTGAAGGACCACATCGACGTTCCATTCCTGCTCAAATCGGTAGATCATCTCATGCTTTCTCAGGTCATCCAGGCTCAGATATTCAGGTGATGGCGTAGGAGAGAGCGTGAGCTCAACAATGCGCGGTTGCTCTTGGTTATCCAAACATCGATGAGAGGAGTGAGGCTCATCTGCGTCCTGAGGAAGAGGGAATGAAGACATGAGGTGGAGGAATGAGGTGATGCATAGAGGTGAGATATAGGAACCATAGATGTGGTCGAGCTGCTCTGACTCTTGAGTTGGCGGCTCCAGAGGATACACGTTGGGATCAGTTGTCGGGGCCAGATTGGCGGGCAGAGACTCGTTACTGTCTGCAAAGGTGGTTTTGACGGGAGATCTGGAGCCCTGGTCCTCGCCCCTCGGCTTATAGAAAAGGGTCGCGATAAGACGATCCGACTTCTCACCAGCTCTGGGAGCGCAATTGGGGTGAGAGTACGAGTGGCTCAGTCCACTGTCTACGACGGTGGGGGGGTTCTCCTCAGAAGGGATGCCATTGAAGGGCAAGATAGGCCTTGTCTGGGGAACGGGTGAGTTGCTGGTATCCTCTATAACGGTGTCGATGCCGTGGAACAGCTGATCCTGTCGAGCTGAGTCTGGTCGAGGAGGGCGGTACTCCTGGTGATCACTAAGGTAAGAGCTGCTCCTCATGGAACCCAGCTGCGGCCGTGTGACATTCTGTTTGGTGGGACTTGTCTGGTCTGCCATTGTGTTGAGTGTATGTTTGTGTGTGTGTACTGTAATTGCGTACGTGCGCAGGGTGAGTGAGATTTGCTAACGTCTGACTGACTGGCTCTGACTGGTTCCAGTAATCAAAAGCGTCAAGGAAAGGCTGAGATACGAAGTTTAGGGCCCAGAAAGGATACTGAGAAATGTTTAAATCAACGTATAGTAGATAGGATAAGTGATAACGCGCAGGTGCCTAGGTATGGTACGGCGAGCAACGGACCCTAGAAGCTTTGCGTTGAATCAGTCTTCAGACTCAAAGATGAGAGGGTAGTGAGCGTGGGTTGGTAGGCTGTCTTTGGACAGTCCGTGTTTAGCCCCGCCAATGGGCTCGTGCGACTTTGACCTCACGGCATCTGCGGCTCCCTGTCAGGCTTTGTCTAGGGTATGATTGGTGCAAATAAGCCCGCAGCCTCACGGGTTTTGTCATTTTGATGAAGACCTTCAATGAACCTGGAAAATCACGTGAGTTTAATTTAAGATGTATGTAACTCTGAGGAATTGTCTGTGGTAAATCTCTGGAGGCCGTGGCTGTAACTTGTAGCCCACAGTTTGTCTCGTTGGAGTCCTGACTCTCGTCATCAAGTTAGCTCATAGTATTGGCTCCGTGTGGCTCGGTGTTTGGCAAACTGTCGGTGTCGACTCATGAAGGAAACATTGAGATGATGGATGCTTGGCTCACTCAGGAGCGAAAATCAACAAGATTATACTGGTAGAGGACGGGTCACATTGATAGAGCAATGAGCAATGACGCAAGCAACGAGCTGGGATTATGACGTAGCTTGAGATTAGGGTCAGAGATCTCCATGTTAGCTTGATAAGTCAGCAAGTTTGGCACTTCATTGTTAAACCCGTATTAGTGAGCACTCAATTGTCGGAACACGGCCTAACCTTTGATCCCTCGTGCGAAACGACCCGAAGAGGAGGGAAAAAATTGTTCAAACTGGAGCCAGGCGCAACGGCAGTCGCACGGTTCCTCGGTACCGATGTTCCGAACCTCATATGGACAATGACCGACTGCCGCACCGGCTGCCCAGTATTAGATTGCGCCTTTGAAGCACGTCTTTTTGGGGGCATGTAAGACGTCGTCACAGTTTTATAACTGGGATTGAATTGTTCGCTGTGTGTTTATACGGGCTGAGATACAGGCATTGAGCTGTCGGCCCTTATGAAGCCTAACTGAAAAATCATCAACAAAGGAACTTTGATATCATGGATCTCGGTATGTGGCAACACAATGGCTCATTCTTGCGACAGAGATTCATACATACACCAAGTGACACACTATCATCGTAAACGGAAAGCATATTCGCTTCCTCCGGGGATACTATGTACATATTTGAATTTCGCAACCCAGGCCAAAATGACATGATCGCGGGGAACCTGCCCTCGTGCTCACAATCGTGCAATCGATGGATGGCCCTGGTCAGTCACTGACTCCGTCTGATCTCGTCAATCCAATAGTTAGTTACATCCATGCCCAGATCTAGATAACATGGAATTTGACTTTGACTGTGAGATTAGCCAGATCAAGACCATATAATTTCTAAGCGATGCTTATAGAACCTTCTGCTCGCATGATGATGATAACCTCCAACCTCCGGGGTTGCCGCTACCTACCTATGTATAGTCCCACCGAATAAGAGGCCCAATGGACCTCCGGCTCGGCGGCTGTATTGAAGTTATGTCGTTGTCCGGGATAAGGTGAGGCAAAACAAGTCCCATCTGCTGGGCGCCATTTCAGGGCTTTGATCCATAGGCCAATCAGACTTTGTCCTGAGCGTGGCGCCCCCATCGCGAAAGGTATAGCGTCGATGTCGTGATCAGTCTCAGTTGCAACTCATGGTCGTTAATCCTCATGGCGGCGATTGCGCAATTGCAGCTCCCCATCTTTTTCCACGTCCTGGGCTCGTCACAGGCAGAATACTCTCGGGTTCGGACGATGTCCTTGCACATTACTAAGGTCGCCCTTGATCGGGGGCACAGCGGGCGGTCGCCCGGACATAGCTTGTAACCCCCATACAATTCAGCACGTCTCTCCCTCTTCGTCTCCCTCTCTCTCGACTTAACTTAAGAATTTGACTGTCCTCGTTCATCGTCGTGTTCGTCATCTCGTCCTTCCAGTGCTTTGAAATCCTGCTCTATAATCAAATCAGCACAGTATCTGCGTCATCAACTCGACTAGAGCCTCTTCACTCTACCTTACCTTTGGCTGCCTATTAGATATAACTGGGATACATCCTCACCTATCCCAGCTTTCAACAAGTTTCAAGTAACAACTCATCGTTGAAACACCATCACCGCGTCTTGAACATGCCTGCCTTCATCTCCCAAACATCCTCGCAGGTGTCACTCACCGACATCAAGCTTGAGTGCGAGTCAGGCTATGTCTCTGGACAAAACTCAGAATACTCGTCACCATCATCATCAACCACCCTGCCCCAGGTCTCTCTCACAAAGGCCCACATCAACCATCTCAACAACATGCTCGAGGATATGCACCCCATGGACATCCTCCGATTCTGCAAGGTCATGTTCCCAAACCTGTACCAATCGACTGCCTTTGGCTTGACCGGTCTCGCAACCATGGACATGCTCTCCAAGATCCAGAAGGAGCACCCCAACTCTCCCACTGTCGACCTCATCTTCCTGGATACCTTGTACCACTTCAAGGAGACATACGACCTTGTCGACCGAGTTAAGGAGCGATACCCTAACGTCCCTGTCCACATCTTCAAGCCCGATGGCGTCAACAATACCGAAGAGTTCGAGGACATGTACGGAAAGGAGATGTGGAACACCGCTAGTGAGATGTATGACTGGATTGCCAAGGTCGAGCCTCTCCAGCGAGCCTATGATGAGCTCAAGGTTGCTGCCGTACTCAACGGTCGTCGACGATCTCAGGGTGCTGCCCGTGGGTCCATCCCCATCATCGAAGTTGACGATGAGCGTGGTGTCGTCAAGATCAACCCTCTGGCCACTTGGTCCTTCAAGCAGGTCAATAACTACATCAAGGAGAACAATGTTCCCTATAACGCTCTCCTCGACCAAGGCTACAAGTCCATCGGTGACTGGCACTCTACTGCTCCCGTCAAGGAGGGTGAAGACGAGCGAGCTGGCCGATGGAAGGGCCAAGACAAGACCGAATGTGGCATCCACAACAAGAAGTCTCGATACGCTGAGTTTGTTGCTATGATGGAGCGCAAGCAACAAGAGGAGAAGCTTGCTGCTGCCCTCGAGAAAGTGGCTCTGCCCACCGTATGAGTGCACTTGCACCCAGACAACCACTTATCTTTGATGACTTAATGATTGAGACATTATGCGAGGCGTTTAAGGAGATAAACTGGCTCGGCAGTTATCGTGACTGAGCCGAATGGAGCTTTTGGTATTTCGGAAATCATCGAATGGCGTTTGGGGAAACATACAGGAAGCTGGGTGCAATGGGGAAATAGCAAGCACATGACTGCAGATAGATATGTTGCAGGCTGCAGACAGAACAATAAGTGAAAGAATCAACCAAACTTCTCATGTGTCTTTGATAGTGAGATCTGTGATGCCAATTATGAGAAATGAAGTCAAATTTCAATGGTAATCAGGATCACGAGGTTGGAGCCACAATGATAAGCTACCCCGCGTCGAGACATGAGTTTTCAAGCTAACAAAACATCACATCCCCACTGCCAGGCTCTGATATCGTCTTATCTGGGCCCTTTGACCTACCTACCCTTTAGTGCTATCTACAACTGTCCATCGTGACCTTTTTCAGCCTCGCGCCACTGCTAACAAATAGAAAGTTCTTGCCTCTTGCCAATATGCAGGAACTCGCTTCTTGTCCGTCCGCTTTTGTTGGAAGAAAGAAAAAGATTCTTGAGCAGCTTGCAATTCCAGACACAGAATACACGGATGCTTCACCGAAAGGCTCTGTAGATGAGGGTATCAGAGATCTCATTGATGAAATCAACCAACAATCTGGATTTGTCACTACCAGCAGCTGTGCAGGCCGTGTCAGCGTTTTTCTTGAAGGGCGGAGAGTTGCTGACACTGAAGGAGAAGATGAACGGGTAGCAGGTGTCGGTGGAAAAGGCGCTGGGGGAGCTTGGTTGTTCGTTTCCCATGATCCAGTACCTGACAAGGGTGATGGAAGTACAGACTGGAGCAGTTTATTTGGACTCCGGGAATCTACAGAGGCACAGGAGACAACTGGGGAAGTGAAAGAGAGAAGGCTTGTCCACTTCAAGTACGAGGCAATGGTAAGCAGAAATTGTGCTGTATCGAGTATAGCGAAAAGGCATTATATACCTAATACAAGGAACATCCATACTGAGATATTACGTAGATCCTCCACGTTCTCACAGCATCACCCGAACACGCTCAACTACTTCTGCGCTGCGGCCTACAGGCAGGGTTTCGCGAGTCGGGTGCCCTCAATATCATCCCGAATGGCAAGGATGCTGCCACTCCTATGGTGGCTATACGGACAATGGGACTTGCCTTTGAGTCTCTCATCGGGCAGCAAATTGACGGCCATCGGCAATGCATAGTCTCATCCGAGTACCTCCAGGCCCTTGTCCAAATTGCCAATGAGCGCTTTACCGAGAACAAGAAGCGCATCGAACGTTTTCAGAACGCCTTCAGAGATGCTGTCGCTGCTCCAGTACCACGTCTAAATCCTGAAGGGCAAGAATGGGAGGATGCTGCAGCGAGAAGAGAAAGGAAGCGTGCCGAAGGCCTGCGAAAGAAGGCCGAGCTGGAAGCCAAGCAAGAGACAGAACCAGAATCAGACCGCGCCAATTCAGGAAAGGAGGAGGACGCAGGACTGTTTTTTGAGATATAAGCTGTACACTTTGATTCCTCAACCTACCTAGTTTTACCCGCTATCAATGCCGTAATGTACACGTGCGTACCTGTCTGGGCATACCAGAGCCCATAGCCTCTATATCTCTAGAATCATTCCCCATTCGCATTATCAGTTTTCCTTGTCTCTCTACGAGACGACCTTCTCGACCCAGCTCTTCTCAAGTTTCTTAACTTCGGCCTTGAAGTTCTCCACCTCCTGCCAGCAGTCAAGCGGCCGTCGGTCGTGCTCCCGCAGACATCGAATGACTTCATTGCGCGCTCCCTCAACACTCTCGGGCAGAGGACGCACTTGCTTGCGTGACTCCAGCTTCTCACGCATGGCTTCAATCTCCTTGCTAACGGTGTACTGGCTCGTGCTGTTGTCATCCTTGAAATCGGCGCTGGCGAGTTTCTCGTGTGCTATTTTGAGAGCTTCGGCCTCTTTCTGCTGTAGCTTCTTGAGCTCCTCGGCCACGCGGGCCTGGATCTGGAGCTCGACTATCTTGGAACGAGAGGCATCGGTCTATTTAGAATCGAGAGAACGTGCATTAGCTTCGATTGATGCCCGTGGAAAACATAGTGGTAAGACAATGCGGATAGAAGTACCTCATTGCTGGATTGTAGTGAATCAACGAGATCTTGTGACAGTCCGTTAGGCGCTGAGCTGTTTATTGGCAAGCTGTTAGTCACTGATTGCAACATAGTAGCATGCCCTCCATGTTTTGATTAACTTACGCCTTCCACACATGTGAGGAGATTGGTTTCGACTCGCTGGAACCCATTGTGTCGACCGCAATGGCTGTACAACCGATGTTCAATGCCCGGCTCTCAATAGCCTTCCTGGAAATTTCCGGTTAAGCGGCGATCCGTGGCTGCCTGAGGTTGTAAATCTATCTGGTCTAGCGACGCCTCTTGTGGCGCTTTAGTGTGGCGCCTCACCGGCGACCGAGATGTAGGTAGTCACCGAAACTATTACACCACATGCCACTTGTACTGTAATGCAATTTATGCATGACATTGTCCGAGCAGGTTTCAACACGGGACGATGTCCGTGCCACTTGCGATGATGATTCAACAAACATGCTACTATCGGCAATCTATCTTCCACAAGCAATGATAAACTTATAACACCGGCCGAGCCCGCGCTTATTACGGTATGATGTTGGGGTAAGATGGCCTGTTCTAAGAGCATAGCGATTTACAGAAGCCAATGCCTGCCGATGCAAAGAATGGTGAATGTCACGGTGACCCAGCTTACGAAGACCTGCTGTGAGGTCGCGGCTTGACTGGCTGATAGGAGTCAAGGATCAACGCAAGCATCAGGTTCAGGACAATCTCCTCAAGGAACCTTGAGATTTCCATTTCTGGAATCCAGATAGCGCCCGCTCGCGGGGCTGTCATACATCAGATGTAGCTTACCAAGGCATCGGAAGCGAGCATTCAGGCACTATAATTTTATCTGTGACGCCAAGACAGTCGACTTGATAGCAAATGTGCGCCAAAGGATCAAGAGCCTCATGGGCCTGGAAATCCAGCGGTCATTTTTCCGTTATCATGCTAGAAGGCGGACAGGCTAGCTGGGCCGCAGTATCAAACTGACGTCGAAACAGAATTCCATCAACCACAGGACGAGAAAATATAAGATTGCGGGCCGCGTCTGACCCTTGGCAATGATGTTTGCAGGGAGCATCTTTGAATACCTTGTTGATTGAGGCTTTTGGTCAGCATTGGCAATCTGTCGAGCTAAGCGAGGAGATGAAGCCTGGAGTTGAGAAGTCTTGGTGAAGGGAGCATGGGAGCTGCCATCGTGGTTGTGGTTCATGGCATGACATATGCCCCTCATGGTTTGCCGTGCAAGCCGTAGGATGTTTCAGTCAGGCCATTTTCATCCACTCTGGGCAGGATTGCGTCAGAGGAACGATGAGACGAGAAACTAGAAACGGATGCGTTTATCCAACATCAAACAGGAAACATTTCATCGTCTAGAAACGTGTCACGGCGGTGCTGAACTTGAGCTTGTGATACGAGAGTGAGCGTTCCTAACCGGATGCCTCTGAGAGAATGAGTCGTTGGCGGCAATGCTGCGGGGCATTGAGTGGCTACGAAGCGCTGTAAGTGCTCAAGTGCCCACATTCTTGCAGCAGGTCTGGCCGTTGACAGCCAGTCTACCAGTCCACCCCTGAAGAGTTGAGCAGAAGACTTGGAGTTTCCCATTCGCCATTCCAAAAGGGGCCCCGGGTGGTCCCCTGAGCAAGGGCCAGCCAGGGCCAGCAAGTGGCTGGTTTCAGAAGCATTGAGTTACCAGGATCTGCCAACAAGCAGCCACTAAATAATGTTCCTCTTCCGCCGGAGGCCTAATTCTGAGATCTGCTAGCGACATCTCTCACCCAATTGGCCATATCTTGCGAAGCCACGCCGTTGCTGGGAGTGCCCCTGCCGTGCTGCAGCTGACGGAGGCTTTTTTAAAAGTCGGGTGCTAAAGTTCCTAGGCACTCGTGTAAGAGACGCTTTAACGCTCGTGGTTCGTTGTGCCATGAATCTTGTAGCTCTTGTATTGTAAGACATGGGAAGGCGTAGTGCAATGCGCGGTCCAACCAGATCGATATGGATTGAATTCTCGGCTTTACGGCTCATAGCTGGAAACAGCACGCCGTGCAGGGGGTCCCAGTTATATCCATCCGCCCAGACTCTGCGGTGCCGAGCCTGGAAGTCTGCTCTTGTCTGTAAGGGGCTCCTTGTGATAGAGACGAACAGGGAGGGGATCCTCTGCCATGCCATGCCCTGCTGTGCCAGTAAAATCTTCCAGCGCCAAGACGTGTAGTACACAGCCTTTTCGGCCAAGTTTGGATGCTGATTGCCCACTAACTTGAACTGGGGGGACCAGTTTACAATACATATTATCACAACCTCCGCTCGGCTGGGCTTCGTATATTGCCTCTTCATTCCTCTTGGTCTTTGCTTCGTGCCGTTTACGGTGGTTTTTTCCCTGTTTTATTTTTATCTTTTTCTTCTTTCGTCCTCTGGGCCATTGAAACATTCTTCGCTGAGGCTGGCCACTCTTTACGTCAATCCGCCTTACAAGACTGCTTTCGTCGCTGCCGGCCACTGTTCACCGGTTCTCGCCCTCGTGTTTGTCTCTGCTTGGGTTTCGGGTCTCAGAACCGGTTGAAACATTGAAAAACAACCGTTTCCCGCTTGGCTTCGATTGTCATTGTTTCCTCTGGTCGATCATTCATTATTTGGGTATTGTCTTGTGTGTTGCGACAAAGCGCCTCAATTCCTGCCTCTACCTTACCTTACCTTACCATTCTTCATACTCGCGCAAGCGCCCAAACGTCAACGTTGATCGTCTTAAACGCCTGCCTTTATCGACTGGCCTGTGTCTCAATTCGCCCTTGCCCTTCCTTTCCTTACTCGCGGCAATTGACATCGAACCGTTCTTTACCGCTGATCCAAATCCGCCCAAAGTTGGAGATCGTCAGCCTGGCCTGCTTTCTTTCCCAACTGCAACTGGGAACATCATCATCACCTTGTTGACGAGGTGAAGACGAATTGGACTTTCTACGTCATCGGGAACTGCCTTGCAGCGACAGTGATCGGTAACCAAGTCTGCCTTGTTCTCCGCGGATTGTTTATTGTTCTTTGCTGCCCCTGCCGCTCTTTGCCTTGGTGCTGCGTTACATTGTGTGTTGAACACACCTTCACCAGCACCAAATCTCCCAAGTCACCACTGAACATCTCGCTCGCCGATCACGATTTATCGACACCAGCGCCAAGTCAATCATTTGTTTACCATCATGTTCTGACACCAAAGAGCGAACACAAGGAGGAACAGCATACACTTACTTTCTTTAAAACCACCACTGACCTCTTGACTCTTATTTGGGGACCCTTTGTTCGTCACACAATTATACTGTCCACCATTCATTCACAGCGAATTGCGAATCCTCCCTCTTCATTCGTCCGAAGACCCCGGATAAAAAGAAACCGACTTTCATTTACTACCGCACTTGCTCCCAGAGAGCAACTACTTAACAAGATGGATTTCACGCGGCGCAGGATCGCCGATATCAGCTCATACATACCAACATCAACCCTCAAATCTCGTGGCGAAGCCGCTCCTGCAGATGCCGAGGCAACTCCAAACTATCACTCAAATCTCGATGGTGTAAACCAACCTATGAATTTACTTTTTAAAGATGCCTTGTGGTGGACCTTGGGTATCATGGCCCTTGTTGTTCTGTCTATCAGAATAATTGAAATTCTGTGGATGAGACTCCGTCAGGTGTCTGCTATGAATGTGTCCGGCCCCAAACAAGCGTACTGGAAGATATCTCAATGGAGCTGGATGCCAAACGTCAAGAAGAACCTCACATACGCTCCTCTATGGAACAAACGTCACAACCGAGAGTTCAAGTTATCCTCTGCTATTAGCATGGGAACGCTTCCTTCGCGACTTCACTTCATCATCCTCTTCATCTACCTGGGCAGCAACTTCGCCTACATGTTCGTCCTCAACTGGCACAATGAGAACAAGCTTGCTTTCTGTGCCGAGTTACGAGGCCGCTCAGGAACCCTGGCCCTTGTCAACATGGTGCCCTTGATCATTTTCGCTGGGCGCAACAACCTCCTCATCGGCCTGCTCAAGATTAGTTTCGACACCTACAATCTTCTACATCGATGGATGGGTCGTATTGTGGTCCTCGAGTCTATCATCCACACTATCGCCTGGCTCATTGTCGCCGTCGACGACTTGGGTTGGGATGGTGTTGGCCATAAACTTTCCCATGGACTTTTTGAAGGCTCAGGAGCCGTTGGCACGGTTGCTATGACCTTCCTCCTTCTGCTTTCCGTTTCGCCTTTGCGTCATGCATTTTACGAGACTTTCCTCAACGTTCATATTGTCCTAGCCTTTGTTGCCTTCGTCGCTACATGGATTCACTGTGCTTCCTCTGCACTTAAAGGTGGCCTACCTCAGCTTCCCTGGATCATGGCTATCATGGCCATTTGGTTCGCCGACCGCCTCGCTCGTATGCTCCGGATTGTATTTGTCAATTGGTCCTCAAAGGGGTGGACTGATGCGGTGTGCGAGGCTATGCCAGGCAACGTCACTCGAGTCACCCTCCACTTACCACGATATGTCGATATTGAGCCTGGCACTCACGCGTATCTGCGCTTTTGGGGTCTTTGTGCCTGGGAGAGCCATCCCTTCTCTATCTGCTGGGTCAATCATGTACGCGATAACAGCTTACCGATTGCGGAAAAGGATCCTCTCCACACAGTCGACAAGTCAACCATGACCACTACAGTCTCTTTCCTGATTGGAGCACAGACAGGTTTCACTAAGAAACTCTTCGACCGTGCCTCCAGATGCCCGCGAGGTCTCCGTATCAAGGCTGCGATGGAAGGCCCCTACGCCGGACACAACAGCCTTGATTCATATGGTCATGCAGTCCTGTTTGCCGGTTCCACCGGAATCACTCACCAAATCTCCTACATCCGCCATCTCCTCGAAGGATACAACCAGGGCACTACTGCTGCTCGACGCATTACACTTGTCTGGATTATCCGCGAATACGAATCTCTCGAGTGGGTGCGGCCCTACATGGATACGATTCTTCGTATTCCAAACCGAAAAGACATCCTCCGCATCCAGATCTTCGTCACCCGTCCTCAGAACCCACGCGATATTGTCAGTGCTAGCGCCACGGTGCGCATGTTCCCAGGACGGCCAAACGTTCCCCTCATTCTGGCCCGAGAGGTGCAAGAGCAGATGGGTGCCATGTGCGTCACAGTATGCGGCCCTGGTGCTCTTGCTGACGATGTTCGGGGTGCTGCCCGAGCAGTGCAGGGCTCGACCGTGGTGGACTTTGTAGAAGAAAGCTTTACGTGGTAAACTGCGACGAGAGTGGTGGAAGTAATCAAGAGGTTTCCGTTCGAACTGTACATACTTATCGCAAGTGGGGGTTATTTCATGGAGGGAGGTTGATATCACGGACAATCATAGCGTAAAAGCCTTTCCATAAAGCGATCGTATCATTAGAGATCTTAAGAGAACTATTACTGGAACGAACCACATTTTTGTTTGTATTAGTGACATGTTTAACTATAATCCAGGACCTGGGAACACCATGTACTTATTACCATACCCGGTCCCTTAATTGATGAGGCTCGGCCAGGCAAACCTAGCACATGTGATTTCCACCCAATTAAGGTTCATTGTCAGATCCAATACCAAAGGAAGGCATGCCCCGTCACTGCCCCGCAAACCTTTTCTCTCAAGGCAGGTGGGACTCAAGGTTAATGGAGTGAAGTACGTACCTGCCTCACGTCGCGTTTTCCATGAAAGACGCGATTGTCACAGCTACTCCGTACAGCTTTCGACTTTACCTAAGAAAGCGCTAAGACAGTACAGGTCCTCAACGGATACAAGGGCATAACTAGATCGGATTCTAAACTAATGCCTACATTTGAACGACTCATCGTATCGCACCAATGCCTACTCAAACACATGATTCCCCGTCGCATTCGCGATCACCATCGCCGCCCTCAAGAGCCACACCAGCGCATCGGAATTTAGCGGTCAGAGAACGGGATTCAGGTCGCTCCGCATCTGGAGCCAAGAGGAAGAGAGCGGACACAAGAAACGGAGAACCCGCGAGCCATCGAAGACGGACCGTTGAACCTCCAGCGAGCAGCGAAGACGAGGAGGAAGATGAAGATGTTTACGATCCTGACCAGCCACTGGAGGAGCGCCGCAGAGTCCAGCAGGGCTTCAGAGATTTACTTCGCGATGTGACGGAGAACACTGAGGAATACCTACAAGGGGACTCGCGAGGGCTCCATGAGGCCATTCTCCGCGCCGATGAACTATCGAAGAAAGTGCGACAGACTACAGAAGCAACAATTGACTCGCGGCTACTCGTTAGCACTACCGACTTATCTTACCGAAAGACTTTGAGACTCACACAAGGCAGCCTCTCTCAAGGCATCGATGTTGATGAGTTTGTTTCAAAATGCATCACATATATGAGACATGGTCGAGGAATTATGGACGATAATGCACCAGAGCTCTCGAGCACCCAACGTCAAAGAAGAAGGACCACAAGAGGGGATGAAGATGGCGAGGAAGACATCGGGGATGAGGGTGATATGATGAACTGGCCGCATCTTGGCCGGTTTGCAAGTTTACCGTACATCAGGCGTCCCGCCCTCCCCGGGTTACTCCTTGGGCCTCTATCGGTCGAGAAGAAGGCTCGCAAGATCACAAAGCGAAGTGCCCCCTTCAGGCCTAACAACCTGACGGAGACGCGTCCTGAAGTGCTCAATGTCGAGGATCTGGCCAAGAGGGAGAACGATCTCACCGCGATTTGCGGCAAGATTCTCCATCAATTACAAACTCTCCAGGCGAACATTCAAGGAACTGTGGCGGACCTGATTGATGAGAATATGGACGATGACGAACAGAACAGGATTATGCATCAACACGGCCTTCGGAGCACCGGTGGCATTGACTTGATGCGGTTCGTTGTGAATCCCAAATCATTCGGCCAAACCATCGAGAACATGTTCTACGTCAGTTTCCTTGTCAGAGACGGCAGAGTAAAGATCGATTTTGATGACTTCGATTTACCAGCGCTTGGTTAGTTAATCATGGCCAGGAGGACTGAAACTCGCTAACTCGATGTTTAGAAATCACAGAGAGAGATGCCGAGGTAGAGGAAGAAGAGCCGACACGACACGGTGCAGCGAAACACCAAGCAATCCTTTCCATGGACATGGAGATCTGGCAGGACATCATTGACACTTTCGATCTCAAAGAGCCCATGATTGCTCACAGAAAGGAGGTGACGACTTCGGGACCTGGTGCGCGGGGTTGGTATAGCTGAGTGGGAAAGGGGAAGCATGGACAGACATGCCGACCTTTCAAATCCATCATTCATTGCCTCGAAACACACGGGATAACCTTGATCGCATGTGAGATACCTACCAGGCAGTGGTTCGAAGATGGCCAACATGGTGTTGTGCACAGGCCCTTAGCAAACAAATTGTTTCCTTTGTTCTTGCTCTTCCCTGACCTCTGTTGTCGGGGCAGTAATGAAGAATTGCTCGATTGGCGGCGATGAGCCTTTGTGTAAGACTGTCTGTCCACGGCAAAAGGTGTGCGCCTCGTTTTATTTTTGACACATTGCAAACATTGTCAAAGAGAAGCGTCCGATCCAAAGAGTCTGAATAGACAAAGGCATCCATGCACCTGCAAGCCGCTTGTTTAATCCCTTCATAACTCCTCCCAGTCCTCCTGTCCCTTGATCGAGTACCAGCGACTGTTTCAATAATCCTCTTCACATTGTTGCAGGGCAAAACCGGTGCCTTTGTCACATTAACCCGGAAATCGTTCAGCAACTTTGTCACACATCCATATTCTCAAATCGACCTTTGTTAAATACCCAGTCAGTCAAGATGTCAGTTATTCATCCCTTCGTCGAATTCGAAAAGGACCTCGATGTTCGAATAGCCGAAACAGGCGCGAAATGGAATTATAAGAAGGACAGCCTCGTGTCAAGTCTAGACGAATTTTACGAAAAGGAATGTCTCAAAGAGCCTTCCAAATTTCCAAAGATTGCCCTCAAAGTCATGCAAGCCTTTAAAAAGACAGCCCATAGTTCGCTTGAAGACCTACTCAAATGGGTTTATGCCACACAACGAAGTCAGGACGATGAGTCCAAGCGCCAGCTCAAAGACCTGGTTGATAGTATGGAGTATCATTTTCAAAAGTACACGTTACGAATCGATACAGAACAACGTCAAGCACGACAGCGGTTGCTCGAGACGGCGAGGAGCAGCCCCTCTAATCCTGCTTCAAACCCTGAGCAGAAGCCAGAAAAGCCCATACCGAAACGTCGAAATTCCGCGTTAAACCGCGTTGGCAGTGCTGGGAAGGCTTTCGAGCGTGCCAAAGTTACTGAGAGGATCATACCCAATTGGCAGCCAAGATCCTCTCGCCATTCTCGTCGGAGACAGAATGCTATGCGCATGGAAAGGACCTTAAATGGCCCAAACGTGAACCCAGCTATTTCAAGGAAGAGGTTGCCGTACAACCGCCCGCAAACTTATGGTAATCCGAAAGGACCGACTCGTCGTATCTCTATGACGGCCCCTAGATCGCCCACAGCGACCCGGCCCAGAAAGCGGTACGCAACAAGATCTCTATGGCAGGAGCTGGATGCTTCCGAGTTGCAAAGTGATGAGCCTGACGATGTTCCTGACAAGATACACGCAAAACCTTCTTTTAAGCAGGAGCCTGTCGCTGCTCAGGATTATAGGCTTCCTCGAATAAGCGAGAAACTCCTTATAGACGACGCACTCACTCTTGGGCAACAACTCAATGAAGAGTTCAGTACCACATCCTCTTTGGTTGATGTTGAAGAAGACTCGGATGGTGGGGATATTAAAGTCGAGCAAATGGCCGAGGAGGGAGATGGGCAACAGAAGAGGGATCTTGAAGAGAAGCCTCAATCTGGGCCTGATGGCACCATTATGCTTTCACCCTACATGGCAATGCGGCTCTGGAAAACCCTCCTGCGTAACAACGAGCGCGTCGATTTTGCAATAGCAAGATGCGAAAACCTGGAAAAGCACGACATCAATGCGAGTTCCGTGAATGAATTCATTGGTACCTGGGTACCGGCAATAAAGGATCACCATCATAAATTCAGCTTCATCAAGAGTTTCTTTGCTGATATCGCTCGCCATGTGCTCGAAGTCGATCTCCCTCCTAACGCTGCGCGGAAATGGGAAGCCCCTAGCTCTAGCCCCACGCTGGGACACTCAGAAACCTTTGCGGGCACGTTAGGCTCTCAGTGTTTGTCAACTGCTCCTTCCAGCGGATCTCGCGATAGCTTCGTTAGCAGTAACGATGACCATAGCGGTGAAAATGCAGAGATGAACGCAAGTAGTGAAACGAAGCATCCTGTTATTCCAGACAGCAAGCCAGCGGCAAGCTTCAGACCTGGAATTTCTCGAGAGTTCAGTGTTCGGCAGCAAAAGATCAAGAAAAACAGAGAGTCCGTGACCCGAGGTCCTTACCTGAGCCCTCCTTCGTCCGCTGGAACGCAGTATAGCACGACGCCGCAAAGCAGCCCGAGAGACGGAGACTCACCCAACAAGTGGCAGAGTAGTCCGAAAGAGGAGAAAACTCCACAGAAAGACAGTGATGGTGAGAAGGAGGCTGTCTCTGAAGATAAGAAAGGAGAAGGCCCCGCTGGAGACATGTCGGGTAACGGCACCGGTGAATCCTCTGACATATCTGAAGCATCTCAAGAGGCGAACACGCCAGCGCCAGGGAACAGTGATACAGGCGATGATCCGAATCCAGATCCTACTAAAGGGGCTACCGCTGATATTGCCCTTTCACATTCATCAACAAAGGCTTCTGGTATCTTCCAATCCTTGAAAATGGGGCTTAGGGACTTGATGTTGTTGGCGAAGCTATTGATACGCAATCAGGTCTCGGCTTGGTGCATTGCCATCGAGTTTGTCTGTCAACTTATGTCCTGGTCTTTTCAGCGTTTCATCAGGTGTAGGAATGTGGACAATGACGGTAAAGTGCTGACATTCCCCAACCCAGTTCCGTATGTGGAGTTTTGTCTTGTTTTCAACCATGTTTTCTTCCTGTTTGTTGTTGGTTTATTCCTGTTTGTTCTTGGTTGGTGGTTAGAGGTATGCCAGGAAAGACGCCTGTGGAATATGGCCAACGGCCAGACGAGGGATCATATGTTGACGTACATGGCGATACAGCTGCCATGGGTATCAACTTTACTCTCTTATTATACAAGCTCTTTAGGGTATATCTTTGGGCTTCCGGGGCATTGCTATCCTGGATGTTTGCCGGTCTAGGTGTTGTGCAGCTTCTGACTTCACCTGTAACTCCATTATGGGCGTCTTTTCACAGATGTCGTTGGAAGTGCAATCTTGGCAACCAAGACATACAAACTGACAGGTGGCTGATGGAAAGGATAGTGGGTGGGGATTCTGGATCTTTTAGTTTGTTTTTATTTGTTAATTGTCGCTTCGAAGATATACCAGTAGTGGTGTTGGGTTAAGGATTCTTGGACCCAACGTTCTCTTGGTCTGGAGATTAGTTGAGTTGAAGCTGCCTACAATATCATATTCAGTGTTGAGTTATGTTATGCAGTCGAGGACCAAATATCCGAAACCAACGAGCTTCCATATAATTCAGCTCAAATCGTTCATTTGACCAGAAAGTTATACGCGTACCGAAGAGCCCTGGTTGAGCCGAGGTTGAACTCTTATATCGGGCTCTCGGGGCGAAGTAACGTGCCGGATGGATCAAGCTACCACTGAAATGATATTTGGAATCAATGAATTGTGTGTGAGCTGCCAGTAACTTTGACAGTATCGATCCTATTTGCCAGGGATGTACATGGTAGATAAGGGAACTAAAATGGTCACCTCAGTACCTAAGTTGCTTGTGCTGCATCCCAGCCTAAAAGTGCAGTGCGGCGTATTGCCTAGGTACAGGTAGTCTACGGTATTTCAAATACCTACACTACAGCACCCAAGCACTAAGACCACTCGGGCACCTCACATCCATGGATGTCGGTTGCTCCGTTGTATCCACTATTGACGCTTGAATTAGCAGCCCCGATTTCCAGGGTCTCGCGCCAAGTCAGCCAGAGTCGGCCGATTGATTGTCAATATGGATCGGAATGTTGATGTCATTGAAGAAATGCAAAGACTAATTCCATTCTCAACTGGAATATTACCAATTCAAGTTCAAGCTCCACCTCGACATTGGATGACAATTATTTATTTATTTATTGAATGATTAATTCATTAATTAATTGCCTTGCTCGTAATGATACGTCCAACGTCTCGAATTCAATACTTAAACATCAACGCATCCAGATCATTCCGGCACCAACAACGACTCCTTCTATTTTCACGTGCGTTTAATAATAAACAGACTCCAACACACGACTTCAACGTCATACATCTTCAACCTCGTATTGCGACATCATCAATCAACAGACCCAAACTCACAACCTCTCTCACTCTACCAGCACAGAATCACAACCTCAGCACGCAGTCAGAAACCTCCAACTCCAACTCAACAGAAATGTCGTCCAAACTCATCCCTTCAGACCCTGATCATGTCATGGTCATTCGCAATGTCACCCCCAACATTGCCACTTTCTCAGTCCCCTTTTCACGATTTGGAAAGGTCAAGATCGGTGGCCGAGGCACTCTAGGTATGCTCTCCTACTCATGACAAGTAACTTGAGCGCCATACTGACCTCCAATAGTTAAGCTCACCTCTGGAGGCCTTGCCATCTTCTCACCAGTCGCACTCACCAAAGCCACCCAAGCCAAAGTCATGGAGATGGGAGGCGATGTCCGCTATATCGTTGCTCTGGACTATGAGCACCATATATTCCTGTCGGAGTGGAAGAAGGCATACCCGTCAGCCAAGATCATAGGCCCGGAGGGTCTACCAGAAAAGCGAGCCAAGCAGACCGACGATCCCAAGATCAACGACGATGAGTTTGCTGTTGTTTTCAAGAAGGAAAACAAGCGGGAAATCAAGATCGACCCCGACTTCGATGCCGATTTTGACTATGAATACGTCGACGGCCACGCCAACCTTGAGATTGTCTTCTTCTACAAGCCTGAGCAAGTCCTGATCCAGGCTGATCTTCTCTTTAACCTACCCCCCACCGAGCAGTACAGTAAAGTGCCCGAATCAGAACTGCCCGCAGATGGAGCTGTTGGCAAGCTCTTTGCCTGTGTTCAGAACCCCCGTGGCGATACCAAGTGGTTACAGAGATTCAACTGGTATCTCCTCGCCAAGAACCGTGAAAGTTTCAACGACAGCATGGCGCAGATCGCCAAGTGGGACTTTCATACCATGATTCCTTGCCATGGAGATGTTTTGGAGGGAGATGGAAAGGAAGTGTTTATGAAGGTGTTTGACTGGCATCTCCAGGGACACAAATAGACGTAAAGGATGACGAGATGACGGTGACGAGATGACGGTGACGAGATGACGGTGACGAGATGACGGTGACGACGATGATGATGTTATTGTACGAGCAGAGCATAGAAGAGGAGTCGGGAGTGATGTACAAATATCTGTAGTAATTTGTAATAATACTGTCTGTACATATGCCCGAGAAATTCTTTAATAAACCGACCAGTCCGATAGTCTTCCAAGAATGCAACGCTATACAGTTTCAGGATTTTGATACCACTATGTCTTGACTGGCCTTAAGACAGCATAATGGTTTGAAATTTCAGAAATTGACTAAACATTGGGTATAATACTATTTTGATGCCGAAACGCCAGTATTGCAACAATCATCCATGCATTTACTCTTGCCCTTATCCAGTGTACGCCTCTTGACGCCTTCGCTTCTATGCGCCGCGATCCCATTGGACATGAACTCTCGGTTGCGTGACGACTCTGCAGCAGAAACAGTCGACTGCTTCCTCACTCTTTCTAAATGTGTAGTCTCAGGGGTAGCTGACGGCTGTATCGATTGTTTTCTTGACGGAGGCTCGGGCTCCATCTCTACAAATCCAAAGACAGGATGTTCGACATTGATCAATTCACCTCCTTTGTGAACGTAGTCGCTGAGTTTCCCGAGTATAACAAACTCAACCTTGAGTTTTACCGAGTAGGCCACTGCCTTGATGCCCTGTTGCCACAGGAAATTATTGGTAAAGCTAACGGCGAGGAGCGTGACATCGACTATAACGATTCCCACGTTGATAGCAAACAGGTGCCAGATTATCCGAGGAGTCTGTTTTTCAGCCTGTTTTCTCTTGATGATCTCCATCGTCTTCCAAATGTAAAGACCTGAAAGGAAGAAATCTTGAGCACAGAAGAATGCCAGCTGAATCTTTTGGACCTTGATGAACGCACCGTTGCGGTCGAGTTTTTGCTGCGTGCTGATAGCAAACAAGAGAACAGTAACCGCGCTGTGCCATATAATAGCATTAAGGATAACCATCCATTTCGTAACCTTCAAAATGGTGATATTTTTGACGAGCAAGTTGAGTCGAGAATATAGAACAAGAGCTTGGCCAGTAGTCAGGAGTATCCAGCCAATGTCGTTTATGAGCATATTTGCAACGTCCCCTACAACATCGAAATAGCAAACCAGCCAGCCACTCGCATACGGCAGCACACCCACGGAAGCCACAGCAAGGCTCCATGAGAAGAGGTCGTTATGCCGCCTGGATGATGTCGAGATGAGGAGAAGCAGCTCGATGCCATTGTACAGCGAAATAGTGGCGCAGGTCTATAAGGCGTGTTAAATGGAGTACTTGGGTATCGAATTCGACAGGGGCCGTACTATGACTATCATGGCCTCTGGGGTATATCTCCCCGAAGACGTAAACTTGGAGGCGGCATCGGTGCGTCTCGAAAGAGACATGTTGGCCTTCTTTGGGCGGGCCGAGGTCGTGGCATGGGTTGGAGCAGCAGAGAGCAATGCTCTAGAGAGAGAGACAGCATTGGGTCCGAGAGTTGAAGGTTGTTGAGATTACCATAGGCATAGCACCTAGGTAGTTATGACGCTGATGCCTCAAAAGGCCGCACGTGATAGGTCCTCTTGGACCTATGTACAGAGGCTCAGATGCTGGGGCTTGCTAGGCCAGGGATACGAAATGCCTAGAGTTTTGGTGTATGTCTCTGAGGGATATCCATTGATTGATGGGGATGATGGTGTGGCTTCTAGGTTCGGGCTATGCGCTTTGAAGATTGGGATGCGCCTAGCTATGCAATATCCATGTCCGCTATGAGACAGGACCGCGGATCGGGATATAAGTGCCGTGGAGGGCAGCTACATACCTAATTTACGAAGTACATAGTATGATATGAACCAATGCCTGGGACTGGTCAATTTATTTAGTCGGCAGACGGGAAGTATAAGAAAGTCTGGGGTCATTAGGCATCGAGAATTGCCCTGTCATGTCTACTTGACTACTCCGGGCCTTCATAAGAGTACCTTATCCAGGGGCACGGCACTTACAAAGAAGCTCGACTAGCAATGCTACGTAGCATCTTGGTTGATATTCGGGAAATGAATCTTGACACATGCCCATGTTTGGTTGATGAAGATACGAGAACGGGGTATATCCCATCAATAGTCACCACGGACTGGGAAGTGAGCAGCCAAATGAAAAGCAAAAAAGTGTCAATCCTCAGTCCGGTAGTAGAGGTTCCGATGATGCGGTAACGGCGGCTGATCAAGGAGCTAGCCACAAGAGGGAATTCATAGACAAGCAAATAAAGGGCTTGGTCAGTGGCTCAGCGAATGATTGATTTTGAAAGTACGTGAATAGAAAAGGAACATTCCCTCTTTCGATTGCTCATCGAGGAGGTCAATGAATCTTGGCTCTGAACAGCCAGAGTGATATCTGTGGAGTGCATTTATATGGATGGAAGCTGAGGTAGACTCACTATGTAAGGTAGGTATGACGGGGCCATGTGATCTTCTCCACCATGATCAAGCTGATGAGCTAGGTAGGTACCATGAACGTCACTCTAGGTTCCTTATCTTATCGCAACTCAACACCAGCCACTACCACTACCAATCTGCCTAAGGTATATTCACAACGCAACTCAGAACCTCCAACACTAAGAATAGCTCTCATTCTCTGCGCGCATTTCTACTTCTCTTCTATTTACACAGCATGACATAGCCTATCATGTCTGAGTACGGGCGCATGGACCCGTTCTCCTTTGCGGCTTCCAAGGACGTCCTTCATCCAGTGACCATTCGCATGTAATGCCCCTCCAACCGCCCCCCCCCCCCATCATGGGAATACTGAAGCTGACCTTTGGCAGTATGAATCTTGAGGGCGACGAACCTCCCTTCAAGCACTCCACTCTTCTCGAGCGCCCCGACCTGCGCCACGTTGGGTCCAACCTGAGGTCCGCGACATTGCTCACTGCCCTGACTTTTGCGACAAGCTAACAAGAGCTGTTAGCCCATGCTCTGACCTTTATGTCACAGTGCAGATTTGGGCTGGATCGAAACCCTTGACTGTCCCTGTTCAGACCGCTTATAAACCTTTTCGATCCGAGCGAAAGTACGAAAATCCCCGAATGTGATGGCGTACGACGTATTAACCAAGTTAGATGGAATGAGTGGCTACAGTTGCCTATTACATACGACTCCTTACCAGCGAACTCATGCTTGGCTATAACAGTATGGGATCTATCACCGACTGGCGGTAAAGGGGCCATTGGCCATGCCATTCCGTTTGGCGGCACGACACTGCCCATGTTTGATGAGGACAATCAAGTACAGAAGGGAAGGCAAAAGTGTCTGGTTCACCGATACAAGAATGCAGACGGCACCGACAACTCAACAACGCCCGCGTTGGTTTCGACAAAGAAGAAAACAACGCGAAAAGGGGAAGTCCCTCCACTAGATAAAGACGCAGAAGAGTTGGAACGGATGGAGACCTTATTCAAGAAACACGAGATGGGCGAGATCCCTCGGGTTGACTGGCTGGATCAGATGGTCTTTCGAAGCTTTGAGAAACGAGGCTTGCAAGCAGCCAAATCGTCAATGAAGATGCTCCAGAGACAACGAGCTATCAACGGTGAGAACGGTCCGGACAATCAAGATGGCGAAAACAAGGATGGACGCCCTGGACAGTCGACGTTCTTACTTAACGTGGAGTTGCCACGTTTCGATTTCCCTGTTGTCTTCGCTGACCACGAATACGATCCGCCCCCGATTTCAGCTTTCCAGAATCTCTCGGTTTCGCAGGCAAGCCTCGCAAACCGTCAGCCGGAGGTTCATTACGGCCCAGGCATCAATGCCGTGGGCGAGGGCTCTTCAGCGCCTGGGAGACGGCTTATCAAAGTCTATGACCCTGAAGTTGGACATAGAGACAACCCCGCAGAGGCCAAGCATCGAAGACTGTTCAGAAGCTCATACAGGCACGGTATCATTGATAAGAACTTGAAGCCGAATGCCAAGGTTCGAGATGAGCTCAATCTCATAATGTCGTATTCTCCAACCCATATTCTCACCCCAGAGGAGGCAGATCTTGTATGGAAATTCCGTTACCACCTGACACGAGACAAGAGAGCGTTGACAAAGTTTGTCAAATCTGTCAACTGGAGAGATCACGGCGAGGCAAGACAAGCTATTCAAGTTCTCGGGCGCTGGACTGCAATCGATGTTGACGATGCGCTGGAGCTCCTCGGACCATCCTTCGACAACTCTGCTGTACGTTCGTACGCTGTAGACAGATTACGAAAAGCCGACGACAAGGAACTTCTGCTTTATCTTCTTCAACTTGTCCAAGCGCTCAAGTATGAGCACATATCAGCAGATTCAGAAGAGGAAAGCAGTCAAGATTCATCTCTGGCCCGTTTCCTGATCCAGCGTGCGGCTGCCAACTTTTTGCTCGGCAACTATTTTCACTGGTATCTTATGGTTGAGTGTGACGATGCCAGCCCTGAGCAAGGTATTGATAACCGCAACATCTACCGCAAGGTCGCATACGACTTCATGGCCGAGCTTGTCAAACAGCCAGATGGCCAGGAAACGCGCAAGACTCTGTTGCGCCAAGCAGAGTTAGTCGCTATTCTGTCAAGAATTGCTCAAGAGGTCAAGACCTCGAATGAATCCATTCCGAAGAAGGTCGACCGAGTTAAGCACTTTCTGGCTGATCCCAAGAACGAGTTGTTATCATTCGACCCGCCCTTACCTATGCCGCTTGACCCTTCAGTACTGATTACGGGCATCATACCAGACCAAACAGTTGTGTTCAAGTCTTCACTAAATCCCTTCAAATGCACCTTCAAGACAACAAACGGGACCTCCTATGCCATTATATTCAAGCTGGGCGATGATCTTAGACAAGATCAGCTTGTTATCCAGATCATCACTCTTATGGATCAACTGCTGCAGAAAGAGAACCTTGACCTCAAGCTGTCGCCCTACAAGATCCTGGCGACAAGTACTTCTG